CAACAATGATGGCTGCAACCAAAAAAATGGCCAGGCGTTGTGGCAGGCGCCTGTGGTCCCAGCTACTTGGGAGGCTGAGGCAGGAGACTCTCTTGAGCCCAGGAGTTGGAGGTTGCTGTGAGCAGTGAAGCCATGGCACTCTACCTAGGGGGACAGCTTGAGGCTCCGTCTCAAAAAAAAAAAAAAAAGATGTCTTGGTGTCCAGGTAAGGAATCCTGCCCATGGTCTGCCTCCTGATTTCAAGAGTGGAACCCAAGAGCCTGGGATGACGGAAGCCCAGAGATGACAATGACCTTCAGGGCAAGGTGGGTACATTGCCATAACAGGGAGCAGAGCACGATGGCTGTCCCAACAGACCGACCAGCTGGAATTGACAGGGTTATTGGATCACAAGGTCCCTGGAGAAAAAGTAGGCTGGCACATGAGGACATGTGACAGAAAGGTCTGACTTCAGGAAGCAGGTCTGACTTGGGCCTCCCTCCCTGCTGTCCCCTAGACAGGGACATGTGGACCCTCCCTCAGGCCCAGATTCAAGTCAGTTAGCAGACCCAGAGCTCTCGTGATGAAGCAAGGACCTGACATCACATCTGGAGCCTGCCTCATGAATCTCCTCCCAGGAGATGATGCACTGTGGCTATTTACGCATTTACAGGAGAACTAACTACATCGGAGCAGTAAAGGTGAGCCTCGTGAGTCTGCCTTTCCTCACCTGCAGCAGGGGGACATGAGCACCCGCCTGCAGGGACTGTCAGGCTAACCGAGGAGAATATTGGGACAGCATGCAAGCTTTCATCCTCTGTGGTTTTGTGTCCATTCTTTCAGTTGTTTCCATCTTCACGCCACCATGCTGCCATCAGCCACTTGCTGGGTGCTGACAGGGAAAAAATATTAATTCCTTCCACTGACTAAAGGGCAAATATGTGCCAGCAGCTGCGCTGGGCGTTCATGCCTCTAACCTGAGCGACAGCTCTGTAAGGTCACACAGCAGGAGGGAACAACACTGGGACAGGGACCTGGTGTGTCCTGTTGCTAAACCTTTGTCCACTATGGCACCAAACTCTGCAGAGGTTAATAGGAGGCAGTGAGTCAGAGCCTGGGACGTGGTCAGGCTGATAAATGGTGATGGGGAAGAAGGCTGGGAATATGGGTGGATGGATAAGTAGATGGGTAGATGAGCAGACGGACGAATGGGACACACAGTTTGATGGATGGACCAATGGAAAGATGTGGGTAGGTGGAGACGCCAGATGTGGGGAGAGATGGCTGCATGGACCTAGAAGGGGGATTTGACATGATCCCAACCTCCCAGGATCTTTCCCAGTCAAGGAAGAGGCTGCACTGAGCCTGGGGCTGAGAAGTTGGAATCTCTCGATCTCTTACCTGTGGTGAGTGATGCCCTCAGAGTCTGCAATTTTCCAGCCACCCCCACCCCCCAAGCGAGCACATATGATGATCAGCAGGGCAAGCTGTGACCAGGGACAGGCATACTTGATTCCTCCAGTACCAGGTCATCTAGCTTATCTATTCGACAGGCTTTGCTGAATGCTCAACTATAAACCAGGTATTCTCCCAGGTGCTGGGGACAGAGCAGTGAATGAGACAGCTGCACAGGAAGTTTCCATGGTGGGGGGTATGTGTGGTCATGGTGGAGACAGATGTGTGTGTGGAGTGACTGGCTGAGCACAGGAGGAAACCCACAGAGCAGGGTAGTTGTCAGGTTGTCACTTGCATGGGGGGTTTGAAGCATGGCATTTCAAAGACCCAGGGAAGGGCTCAGCACTCGTTGCTCAGTGGTTAGGGCACCGGCCACATACACCAAGGCTGGAGGGTTCAAACCTGGCCTGGGCCTGCTGAACAACAATGACAACTACAACAACAAAATAGCCAGACATTGTAACAGGCACCTGTACTCCCAGCTTCTTGGGAGGCTGAAGCAAGAGAATTGCTTAAGCCCAAGAGTTTGAGGTTGCTGTGAGCTGTGTCAAACCAAGGTTGACATAATGAGACTCTGTCTCAAAAAAAAACAAAAATCGGCTCAGCGCCTGTGGCTCAAGTGGCTAAGGCGCCAGCCACATACACCCAACGTGGCAGGTTCGAATCCAGCCTGGGCC